GGCGCAGCCATGCCAGGCTTTACGTGTTGCGTGCCGGGCTGCTACAACAACTCGCATCGGGACAAGGCTCTCCATTTCTACACGTTTCCCAAGGACGCTGAGCTGCGGCGCCTCTGGCTCAAGAACGTGTCTCGTGCCGGCGTCAGTGGATGCTTCTCCACCTTCCAGCCCACCACGGGTCACCGTCTCTGCAGCGTCCACTTCCAGGGTGGCCGCAAGACCTACACGGTGCGCGTCCCCACCATCTTCCCTCTGCGCGGCGTTAACGAGCGCAAAGTAGCACGCAGACCCGCCGGGGCCGCAGCCGCCCGCCGCAGGCAGCAGCAGCAGCAACAACAGCAGCAGCAGCAGCAACTGCAGCATCCGCCGCCGCCGTCAGCCTCGACTGCCCAGACCGCCCAGCTGCAGCCGAACCTGGTGTCTGCCTCTGCGGCTGTGCTCCTCACTCTTCAGGCGGCTGTGGACAGCAGCCAGGCTCCTGGATCCGTGCAGCAGGCAACCACTGCTCCCACCGGAGATGATGTGAAACCCATCGATCTGACGGTGCAAGTGGAGTTCGCGGCCGCAGAGGGCGCAGCCGCCGCAGCTGCCGCGTCGGAGCTAGAGGCTGCCACCGCCGGGCTGGAGGCTGCCGAGTGTCCGATGGGCCCCCAGTTGGTGGTAGTAGGGGAAGAGGGCTTCCCTGATACTGGCTCCGACCACTCGTACTCGTTGTCGTCAGGCACCACGGAGGAGGAGCTCCTGCGCAAGCTGAACGAGCAGCGGGACATCCTGGCGCTGATGGAGGTGAAGATGAAGGAGATGAAGGGCAGCATCCGCCACCTGCGTCTCACCGAGGCCAAGCTGCGCGAAGAGCTCCGAGAGAAGGATCGGCTGCTGGCCATGTCTGTCATCCGCAAGAAGCACGGAATGTGAACGGGTCCCCCTGGGACTCCCGGGGCCCTGCCAGCCCAGGAGGCCTGCAGGCCGCCATTGCGAACTCGCCTATACTCCTGGGACACTGGTTGACTGTACTGAGGCTTAGGGCAGCTGGACTGTTGCTGGTGACCTGACACCCTCTTGTTTCCTCTTGAAGTCTGGGACCTTGGACTCTGCTCTGGTGACACCAGCAATTAATGACTCTGTCTCCCCCACATCCCCATCTCCAGTTCATGTTGTGGGTTCTGGTTAAGCAGAGGCTTAGGAACCACTGAACTTGAAACTTACCCCATAGGGATGCAGGTGGGATGCCCAAGGACTATGGGTTTGGGAAGACAACACCTTGTGGTTTGCCAGCAATCAGAGACAACTCTTCTGTGTGTAGTGATAAGGGAGCCAAGTGACATCAGTTCTCCTTTTCATGCTTTTCTTTCCCAGGTGCAGCCTGTGATTCTGATGGGAGCTGGCAGATCTGTGCCTCTGCTTCCTAGGACCTCCCTCTCTAGGAGGCCATCTACAAGGGGATCTAGGTGACATGCTGATGGAGACCCAGCTTGCCAGGGACTTAGGTTTATCTTGTTATGTTTGCTACTGGTTACAAATTCTATTTTCTGTACATTTAGTCAGACTAAAGTTTTCACTGTGTTTGTTTGGCAAAATGAATTAAACAGAAGGTAAGGTTTTTACTTGGATTTCGCCCTTTTATTTTTATAAGGATTCAGCTAAGTGGCCCTGAAACATGGGGCAAATAGGCTGAGGCCTGGTCTCAAGGACCAGGCTGACCCTGGGAGCAGAGATGGTCTCTCCATAAAGGAGTCCTAAGCACATGGCCCCTGGCCCCTTAAGGTCCTCACAGACTTCCTGGCTCAGCTCCAGGTTTGGAAACTTGCACAAAATGGTCCCAGATTGTCCATGGGTGAGCAGCCTGTGTTCTTTTAACAGGGAGAAGGAGCAACTGAGAACTAAGCTGAATTGTGACAGTCTACTTCTCCGAGGGTTTTGAATTCCCAGGTTATCAGCTAGGGTTGAATTTTGCCCACTGTTATAGCCCTTAGGCCTAGTACAGTGTCTAATACACATAGGCATTCAATTACTCAAATCAGTGCAGACCACAGTTGGAACCAGCAGTGGCGCCTGCACAGGCACAAGGACTCTTATACAAATACCTTTCGCCTTGGTGCTCTCAGTATGAATTACCCATACAAGCTTTAAGGAGTAGGAGTTGGGAGTTGTGACTCCTTGACTCATTTTCATGGCTGTTTCCATCTTTCTTAAGATTGGGTATTGTAGGGGTGAGATAACATTTGTATCTATAGCTCCAAGTAATTTTGCTCAAATCCAGTGGGGAAAAGCAAATGCCTTTAAAGCTAGCACTGTTTACTAAGGGTGTTGGGCACAAGTGGACAGTTCTTGAGCTCCATAAAACATCATTCTCTTCTCTGTTACTTATGGAAAAAGCCACTTGCCTGGAGACTTTCCCTTTGGCTGCGAACTGAAAAGACTAAAATGTTCCTCTTCTCTTTGGCACTGACTTGAGAAACAAGTTTTTGGTGGGGAGGCAGAGTGGGGCATAGGTTGTGTGGGTGCCTGGTTGGGGAAGAGATCGGATCTCTGCCTTTCTAGGTTTTTGGCTAGTAACAAGGTAGTGGAAGTACAGCAGTGCCCTTCGAGGCCAGCTGAACTGAAACCCTTTGCCTTCAGCTATTGGCCAGTCTCTCATATGTCCCCCCTCTTTCACTTGGAGTGAGGGATTTCCCAGGCTCAGACCATGCTCTGTAGTGGATCCTTTAGCTCCATTTGGTTGAAGGGACTGAACACTGTTTCTGCTTTGGCTCATGTGAACCTCTCAGCAGCACTCCCAGGAAAGTGTGAGGGCCAGGACTTTGGTCTCTGGAGGTTATGTGTACACAACCCACCCAGTATTTTTGCTTCTTGGGAGGACAGCTCAGAGCAAGGGAGGTCCCAGATGCACCACAAGCAGGACAATGTAGAGTTCTCACTGGCTGAGTAATAAGAAGCATGAGGCAAAGTAGTACACACCTGGAATTTAATAAGCTTGGCCTAGTCTTACCAGCCATCACTGGGAGGGTGGGGTGCAGTCAGTCGGTGAAGGTTCAAAACTCTTCTGGAAGAACAGGATTACTGGGAGATCTCTGGCCTGGAGGGAAGGCATGGAGCTGCCAGGAGAAGCCTTGTAGCTATTTCCCTTACCTATGCCTCCTCCTCTCCCGCCCTGGTTAGCTGTAGGGCATTTCCGCCAACCCGCCTGACCCAGAGGCAGGCCTTCAATGTTTGCGTTGCCCCGGAAACAACTAAAATAGGCGTTGAAAGGAAAGGGCAATCTGGTCATTTAAGTCACGGGGAAATTTGGGGTGAGCCAGTTCTCTTTTCTCATTAATAAAAATGAAACACTTAGTTGTCTGCCTGTACCAAAAAAATGTTTTGGAGACTTCAGTTGTACAAGTCTAAGAGAAATCTTGTCTGCAGCTGAGCCCCACTTGAGGAACATTTGAGTCTACAGCCCGAAGGGAAAGTCTTGCCTGCTCGAATAGTGGTGGGCAGGGCGCACGAATGTAGGCCCGCAGAAGTTATGGATTCTGCCTGGGGCTGGTCTTGAGCACCTCTCCGAGCACCAAAGAGGAGGGGGGTTCCCGAGCGGAAACAGCGCGGGGCCCAGGGAGGGACGGCTGGGCCAGGCTGGGATCCCACGGAGGCGGGGCCAACCCTAGACAGCGGCGCAGGGTGGGGTCGGACCAGCTGGGACCTGGTGACAACAAGCCCTGACCCTTGCCTGGCGCCAACTTCGGGTGTTCCAGAGGCTTCCGCTAGACCACAATTCTCAGGGGCTTGCCCCGGCAGCCGCCCTCCCTGGCTTAGCCTCACCTCCCGCGCTGCGGTCCGTGTCTGGGCCTCGGCGCATAGCATGCCGGGAACTGTAGTTTTCTCTGGGAGTACCTATGCCTGAAAGGAGCGCGGGGAGGACTGCGTTTCCCAGAGTGCAGCGGGGGTGGCGAGGGAAGGTAGGGGGGAAGGGACAGTCGGTCGCCGACCGCGCTGGGTTGCCGCCGCCGCTGCCGCCATCGTGCCAGCCCCTCGGGTGAGTGTCGG